CCCCTCTCTCCAACGTGCAGCACAGAACGTTTCACAAGGCGGCCCCCCTCCTAGCGCAATGATGCGCCCCGCACGGATCAGACTTTCGAGCCCTCCTCCCCAGGGGGCCTCAAGAGGCTTCGAAGGGGTCTCCAAGAGCACTCCCCAAAGGGCCCCAAGAAGCCCAAATCATTGATTCTTTTGGTGCATTTTAGCCCCGACGCTCCACGACGGTCTGGGATACCCACACAACGTCCAACCAGGCTCCCACGAGGGCGCCGAGATGGCCCAGGGCCGCCCCCAGACGGCGACGGCGGCGATGACGAGTTGGGGTGAATGTGTGACCGCCGCCTTCTGCGCGCCGCCAGCCCGTGCAGCTGGGGCCTCACGCTGCCAGAGGCGGTGGGGTTGCGCGAGGTCGCGGTCGGCGTGCGGGAGGGCACGGGACTCTCGGAGGCCCTCTGCCTGCGGGGCGCGTCGCGGGCCCTGAGGGAGGTGGTGTCCGCGACGGGCTTCCGCGAGACGTCCTCCCCGCACCTCTTCGTCTGCGGCGGGGAGAGCAACGGCCAGTTTCTGAGCTCCGTGGAGTGCCTCGACCCCGCCACGGGCGGCTGGCAGACGCTGCCCGTCGGCCTCCGGCGCGGCAGGCATTGGGCTGCCGCCGCGGCGCTGCGGGGCGCCGTGTACGTGTGCGGCGGCAGCGACGGGCGGCAGGTGCTTAGCTCGGTCGAGGCCCTGGAGGTGGCCACGCTGGCATGGCGGGACATGCCGCCCATGCTCGAGCGCAGGGAAGGCGCGGCGGTCGCGGTGGCTGGAGGCCGCCTCCTCGTCGTCGGAGGCGGAGACGGGCGATCCATCCTGCGCTCGGCGGAGCGCTTCAGCCCAGGGGCGCCCGGCGAGTGGGACGCCCTGGAGCCCATGGGCCACTGCCGGCTGGGTTCTGCCGCGTGCCACGCCGGCGGCCACGTGTACGTCTGCGGGGGCAACGGTGGCGAGACCTCGCTGAGCTCTGCGGAGACGCTGAGTTTGGCGACGGGCGCTTGGGAGGAGCTGCCTGCGATGGAGCAGCAGCGCGAGCGGTTCGCGGCCTCGTGCGTCGGCGGCTTCTTGTACGTGTGCGGAGGGTGCGACCACCGCCAGGGCCCCCTTGCCTCCGTGGAGAGGCTCGACCTGCAGGCGCTGCGGTGGGAGAGCCTCTCCTCCATGCCCCGTGATCGGTTGGCCGCCCTGAGTAGGGGGCCAGGACTCCCTGGGTGGCGGCGCTGACGCCTGACATGAGCGCCAGCAGCGCGGCCACCCTCAGAGTCAATGTTTGGGACGCCCAGCCTTCCGAGAGACAAAGCCTTCGGTAACTTCTTCGCCAGGAGGAGGGACAGGAAGCAGCAGCAGGAGCAAGAGGGCAAGATGTCAAGGTCACCCGCAGAGAGGTCCGAGGGAAAGGGGTCCCGAGTTTTATGTGCCGTGTTCGGCCTCCCGGGGCACTTGCCGGGCCGCGGGACTGTCGAAGAACGACTCAGGATGAAGCACCGGTTCCAGAGAAAGACCCAGGACCGGGCCCGCTTCCCTCAGGGCCCCTTTGCCCTCTTGAGAGATCATCGTGCTTCGTGGTCTCGGTCGGAGAGCTGCCCATCTCCAGGGGGGCGACGCCGGAGCGCGAGGAGAATCGGGCCTCGCGCAGCGCGAAGCGCAAGGTTGGACGACTTAGCATGGCCAGGGCGCCCCGGACGAACGAGACAGACACGCCCCAGGACAAAGAGAAACATGCAAATGAATGGTTCACGCCGAACGCGTTCGATTACCTTCTAGCCTGGCGAGTGTCCGTTTGATTGGCTCATGGGCCCCTGGTCTGTTGTCGGGTGTTGCTAGAGGCGATGCTGGCCCAAGGGGTGCCCAGCTTGTCCAGGGAGACCCAAGTTGCCTGCAGAGCACACCTCAACAGGCCCAGCGTGTCCCAGGAGCATCCAGGGGCTCCACAATGACGCGATAAGCTGGGGGCTCTTTGGACCCCCCATCGCAGGGTGGCCAACAGAGCGCGGGCCAATGCCCGTCAGCCGTCACGGTGCGGCAGCGGCAACGCTGGCTGGCCAGATTCTCGTGTGCGGGGGCAGCTACGGAAGGCACGACCTCCGGCTGGTGGAGTGCTTCGATGCGCCCAGGCTGCCGCCCCACATCCGGCGTCGTCATCGGCAGACGTGCGCATGCCATTCCCCCGGATTTCGCAGAGAGGATCAGGAGAAGCGCAGCGTGCGACACGTCGCGCTCCCGCATCGGATCAGACCGCGACGTGTGGCACCTCCTCCCTATGACGACATCCCGAAGCTCAGAAAAGGTGGAACGCGGAACGCCTCGGAGCTCCGGGCCAAAATGACACAAGCGTGAAGCCTCGATCCCTAACCTCTGGAGCCCCCCGCTGGGGTGGGCCCGCGGGCCCAGCAACCGGCACCTGGTCCGAGTGCCCGCAGATGCTGGCGCCGAGGAGCAACGCGGCCGCCGCGTCGCTGCGCGCCTAGCAGCTGCCTAGTTGCCTCGAGGTCGTCGTCGTCGTCGTCGTCGTCCGTCGTCCGTCGTCGTCCGTCGTCGTCCGTCGTCGTCCGTCGTCCGTCGTCCGTCGTCCGTCGTCCGTCGTCCGTCGTCCGTCGTCCGTCGTCCGTCGTCCGTCGTCGTCGACGTCGTTGTCGTCGTCGTCGTCGTCGTCGTCGTCGTCGTCGTCGTTGTCTGTGGTCCGTCGTCGTCTGTGGTCGTCGTCGTCTGTCGTCCGTCGTCCGTCGTCCGTCGTCCGTCGTCCGTCGTCCGTCGTCCGTCGTCCGTCGCCCGTCGCCCGTCGTCCGTCGCCCGTCGCCCGTCGCCATCGCAGTGCGCCGTCTTGCGTCGACATCGTGCGTCGTGGTCGTGCGTCGGGTGTCGCTCGTCGTCGTGAGTTAGCGCCAGAGTCATGAGAGTCGTAATGGTTAGAGGGGGAGGACGAGGACGACGGGGGTAGGGGGATGAAGAGGGTGAGGAGGACGAGCAGGAGGAGTAGGAGGGGGAGGGGTCGTAGCCCGAGGAGGAGGGGGAGGGGAGGAGGAGGGTATGAGAGGAGGAGGAGGAGGAGGAGGAGGAGGAGGAGGAGGAGGAGGAGGAGGAGGAGGAGGAGGAGGAGGAGGAGGAGAAGGAGGAGATGTGGGAGGTGGGGGAGGGAGGAGGAGGAGGGGGAACACGTCGCATTCTATTATTAGCCCTTCCCTGGCGTGGCGTTTAGCTGTCCGCAGCAGATCCTCACCAACATGCTCCTTCTACCTGTCTTGTGCACGCAGGCGCTGTGGTGTATTCCAGCGCTGCGTTGCACGCGGATGTTGTGGTGTAGACAGGCGCTATGGTGTGCACAGGCGCTGCGGTGCACGCCAGCATTGTTGTGTACACAGGCGCTGTGTTGCACATGGTCGTTGCGGTGTACACATTCGCTGTGGTGTACACCGGCGCTGTGGTGCACGCAGGCACTGTGGTGTACACAGGCGGTGCGTTGCACACGGCTATTGCGGTGTACGCAGGCGCTGTGGTGTACACGTGCGCTGTGGTGCACGCGAGAATTGTGGTGTACACAGGCGCTGTGGGTCAGATCGCCACCTACATGCTGCTCGCGTCGTCGTCGTCGTCGTCGTCGTCGTCGTTGTCGTCGTCGCTCGTCGCTCGTCGTTCGTCGCTTGTCGCTCGTCAGTCATCGTCGTCGTGCGCGCGGGCGCGGCTGCTGTTCCGGAGCCACACGGCGGGGGGGGGGGGCGTTACATCATACTCCTCCCGCCCCCCCCCATGACGCCCGTCATCACCGAAAATATTAAAACGTGCTCAAGGAAGAAATCCCGCGTTCCTACCCAGACTCCTTCTCCAACGTGCGAGCATACCCGTTCCGAGCCAGTTTTTGCGGACCAAAGTCATCCCGAGGGCCGACCCTCGGCCGCTGCCGGAGCGCCAGAGTCAGGATTGCCTGGCAGAAGCGGAGGACCAGGAGCGACGCAGGAAACCCGAGGGCCCACTGGAACGAGCTGGTCTGGTTCATGTGGACCTCCTGGCTCCAACGGGCGATCGGCACTGGCCGTGCACCAGGTCGGCCCACTGTCCAGTGTGGCGGCAGTATCCGGCAGTAGTCAGAGACGAGACTTAAGCTGGCTCACAGGTCTGACCACTGAGAAAACCTTGCGCCCGATCCGACGTATGTCTTTGTCAGGTGTGCCAGTGATCTCGGACCCATACGAGGACCCCGCTAAGGGCCAAGCCGAAGACATCTTCAACACCGTCGAACTCCCCAAGACCTTGATCTGTCTCTTGAGCCACCTCGCAGTCCTGTAGGCCTCGGCGATCCTGCTTTTCAATTTAGCTGAGCGCCCCCCAACACCACCAAATCGACCCAGTGTGCAGTCGGCGCCTAGGTTGACCGCCGAGCCCTCAACTTACCCGCAGATTCGGAGGCTCATCGGCCACTTGGACTGTCCAGGGCGACAGATATCCCGATGACGATGATGATGGTCCGATGGTGATGACGATAGTGATGATGATGCTGCTGATGGTGATGATGATAATGATGATGCGTGTGATGATGATGCTGATGCAGTCAATGCACTCCTCTCCGCACCACCATCCTGTTGCCCTTGCCATCATTGCTGTCGTACTGACTATCCGCCTGCAGCCACTCAGACTCGAGGGGTATTAGAAAAGGGGCGTGCTGGCCCGCGCGCGCGTCGGTCGGCCGGCCAGCCTCCTCACTTCATGCATTCTTTTTTAGTCCGCTTAACGGAACACTCCTTCCTTGCCATGGCCTCGGTGGAGCCCCCTGAGCTTTTCTCGCGGGAGTTACCTTCAGGGGCAATCAAGGTTACATTGGAACATAATGCAGGGGTTATCAATATCCAGGCAAAAAGCTGGTTATCAGCCGAAACGACGGTTCAGCAGTCGGCTTCGCTGAGCATGGGATTACAGGAAGGAGCGCTTGGAGAAATAGAAGGACAAAACCGTCCCGAGCGTATTGCCAAGAAGGGCGCCCCTAGGGGGCGGCTTCTTTTTCTCAATCTTCCCAGAAGGCAAGCCTTGGAATCTGTTTTTGATATGGCAGACGGGGGGTCTCCTATTTATAACCAGATGACGGCGAGAGTTCAAACGCCAGGCGGTGGGCGCGGCGCGGCCAGTGCCCCCGTCGGAAGGCCATCTGAAATCATATCAGTGCATTCAAGCCCGAGGATATCAGTCAACACGACCTATGAAGAGCAGAGCCCGCGGGAAAATCTCCCGGCTTTGCGGGTGGAGAGCATCATGACGAGGAACAAATAGCACAATTTGTGATGAATGGGCAGGGCGAAGAAGAGAGCGATGGGCAGTCAGAGGAGGAGAGCTCGCTTTCAGTCGAAAAGAACGAAGAATATGTTCAATTCCATGCGTTGCCTGGTCCATGGTATCATCCTAGGCATCTCCAGAACTCGTCTGGCGGGCTCGCCTCAGGCGTAGGCCTGTCGGATACCGAGACAATCGATTGCGCGCCGACTGAGGGCCCTCGGGGGGCTATCCTTGATTCGGATGAAGATCTTGAGGAAGCAGGAAGCTCCGAAAGCGGGGGAATTGGCCGTGGAAGGGGGAGTTCCTCGGCTCAGCCGATAGAGAACTCGCCCGACGCCGCGCGCCCAGCTCGGCGCGCGAGGGAACCGGCCGGTGTGACCCCACTGCCGAAGACAAAGAAGACCAAGAGCGATGCTGACGATCTTAACCCCCGCCATTGTCGAAGGATTTCCATCGACAAAGTTCCGTGCCACCGAGGGTAGGCCGCGACAGAGTGCCGGAGCTTGATGAGCTCATTATGCAAGACGACGAAAAGGATGAGCAAACGGAGAGGCAACATGGCACTCTAAGGAACAAGGGGTCAAGAATGAGGGGGCAGAATGCGCCGACATCCAGCTGGGGTCGGGAAAAGGCTCCAAGAGGTGGGCGTTCCAGCTCCAGAGGATATGACGCTCTTGAGCCACCTCGTCCGTCGTCGAATAGAGCCACGAGCAGTTTTTCTATCCGGGACACTTGCTGGAACGCGGGCCCTAGATGCCCGCCTCCGGCGGAGAATCGTTGCCCAGGGAAAGCGCGCAAACCGGGGTGTTCGCGTGGCTGACCTGTATGCGCACAGTGTTCGAAGGTGTGTCCGACATGTAGTTCATCGTGGCTCTGCGAAGAATGAATCGCGCTGGAGGGACATAACTGCCGTCATATCGCCAGTCGAGAGTGGGGGGAAACATAGATGCAAGATAGAGTGCAGGTGAGGGCAGCAAGTGCGCAAAAGGCAACGCATTGTTCTTCGGGCGCATGCGGATGAAGCGGCCGCCGAAGAAGCTGACCGCAAGCTCGCCAAATCCGAAGCAGAAAAGAGGGCAATGGCAGATAGAGTTGAACGAGAAAAGGCTGCCATTGCAGAAGGTGCGCAGAAACGCGTACTGCATGCAGAAGCAGAAATAGCAGGGATCGCGGGCGTGGCTCAGCGGCGTCTCGCGCGAAAAAAAGCGGAGGATTCCGGGGGCGTCTGACCAAATTGTTTCGTCGTCACAACTGCAGGCCGATGAAGGGGGCCCAAATGATGGCTGATGCAGCCAGACGGGAAGGGGAGTGGCCCGAGAGCAGGCAGCACGAGAAAACCAGGAGCTCCGTGATCAACGCGATGCTGCCAGGCTCGAGGCCGAAAAGAGAACGCTAGAAGCGGCGCGCGCGCTCCCGGGGCAGGATCGGAGGGCCCGGGCCATCAGGCATGGCGATCAAAGAAGGATGGCAGAGGCCTGGAACCGCACAAGGGGGTGCGCAGATGGGCGGCAGATCAAGAACGACGCAGTCATCATTCGTGCCGTGAGCAAAGAAAATAGAAGGCTAAACTTTGGCCTAGAGCACCTAGAGCAGCGCGAGACTGCGAGAGAGTCTCTGGGGAAGATACAGACAAATAGGCAACCTGGCACAGCGGCTGCGCCAGAGGTCAAGTTTACACCTGCGCTCAGCCGGGAGGTGCTGGATCGCAGGAGAGGGCCGACTCAGCGCCGGTCCAGCCGACGTATGTTGAGCCCCCCCCGGAGCCCAATGGTTGCGCGCCCCGTCCGAGTAGGGGCGGCCAAGCCGACGCGAACTCGGGCGGGCGCGCCAGATGAGTCATGTCGCAAATGTTCAAAGCTTGTCATCGGGATTTGCGTGGGGTGTGCAAAACCCACGTGCAGGGGGCGCCTGGGCGGAGGTGCCAAGAGGCGCGCAGAACGTGCCAGGGGCAGAGAGTCCCGGGAACAAGATGATCCCGTGATAAAGGCAGAACAGCGAAGCATACTTGAATATATCAACCGCGCCAAAAGCGAAGCGATGAGAACGGCAGAACGGGCGGCTGAGATGGCGCCGAGACACTCGGAGATATCGGAAGATATCAATCGAAGACGCCATGCAAATGTAAGAGCTGGAAGATCACGGGGCAGAGTTGGCCGCCGTCAGACGATAAATAGCCGCTGCCAAAGCGGATCAGGAAATATTGCGGAAAACAGAAGAACG